ATTTTTGTATATTTACATTAAAATTGATGTAATTTATTAAAAGTCAATAATGAATATAAATATAAATACAAATATGTATACAATATAATATATATAAATAAGATATTATATATAGGTATGAGATATACTGAATAAAGTATTTTTTGAATAAATGAGTTTTTAGATTTCGTTTAAAAGTGTCAATTGATTGGCTGGCTCGTAGATGATATAAAATCGTCCCAAAGTTTGGGAGAAACGAAAAGAAAGGGAAGCGAAGCAAAGCAAAGCAAAGCAAAGGAAACGAAAGGAAACGAAGAGAATGGAAATGAATGGAAAGAAAGGGAAAGGAAAGAGAAGCAAAGCAAAGCAGAGCAAAACCAAGCAACACAAAGCAAAGGGGGAAAATATGCAAAGCGAGAGAAAATGTGTTGGGTGGCAGGTGTCCTATACTTGAATCTTCCCACCTTTCTCTCAGCAAAATAAACACCACTTAAAAGTTCAGTCCAATTAAAGGTATTCCTTGCCATTTTTCTACAAACATTTAATACTTTTAACGCAAATAACTCATTTTCTACCTAATTTTAATGCTTATCTCGTAGGTTTTCTATTAAAACGGACTTCAAAGGGCGCCGACAATAACTTAATTCAAAAAGCTTAAAACCATTGTCGTAATTACTGGAGTAGTTTTCCTTTAGGGTTACCCTTTGGCGGATGTTGTTTTGAAGCGTTTTATGTTGTCAACATTGGCTGGACATACACCTTATCTTGGCCGTAATGCTTTGTCATTTTAAACCTCGTTTTAGATTATATTCAAGTCTTTTACAAAAGTTATTGTAAACAAAGTTATTATCCACTCGGACGCTCTAAAACATGCCCAAGTTAAAAGGGTCCTTAAACATCATTAGCCAAAATAGTTCGTGCATTTCAGCACTGATATATGGTCATTTGAAGCTCATTTGTCATTTCAGTAGGAGTACGAGCATGCGCAGACCTCTCCGTTGTCCTTAGGATAATATGAAGACCACTGGACTAGTTTAGGGCAGATGCTTTTTAATTTGATTTAAATAGACAATTTTACAGTTGATGTTTTTTTCAAGGGAAAGTTAAGCAAAAGAGAGTGCTTTTGATTTTAACTGACGTCACTATTACATAACCTAAAATGACGTCGCGTTTAGTACTATAACATATACATGATGCCAATTTTTCAATAACGTAACAAAAGGACGAAATGAAAATATATGACGTCACATCGTGTAAATGACGTCATTTTCTTCTAGCATTCAAGTGGTTGGTTTCTGCTGTTTCGTTATTTTTGTCGAGGACGACTTCTTTTCTTATTCCATATAATAAAGGACCATCCAAGGGTCAATTAGGAGACTGTTTTGTCATTATATTTACATCCCTCTACTGCATGCACTCTATTAGAGGGTCCTTTTTGTGGACCCTTATTTTGAGTTACCTCCTGACCCTGGTCTTTATCTCCCTGGTTACCTAGTCTCTTCTCGTCCTGTGAAGAATTTTCATTTCTTTTCCTGTCTTTCAGTGCGTTCATTAACAATATCCGCATTAACATTGGTTCTTTTCTTCAAATCGTCTTGTAAAGGCAAACCATTGATCTCACTTGCATTGACGTAGGTTCTCTTGTCCCAAGACTTTTCAGCACCACCAAGACTGTCTGGCTCAATATAGGTCCCATTTTGCGTAGGGTCTTCAGGAGGAGGACCCAGGGGTGAACGCGGTTTAATTTCATTGAAGTCCATCTTTTCATAAAAGTCGTCCGCTTCAGTATTGAGTTCATTACTTGACAGACGTTGGTTTGTTTTCGCTCTTGGTTTTAACCGAACATTCGGTATAGACGTATATTCAGGTTCCTGTGTATCGACCTTCGGTTTAGACCGACCGTCCGGTATAGACGAGTATTCGGGTTCCTGTGTGACGACCTTCGGTTTAGACGGACCGTTCGGTATAGACGAGTATTCGGGTTCCTGTGTGACGACCTTCGGTTTAGACCGACCGTTCGGTATAGACGCGTACTCGGGCTCTTCTCTTGAGTCCTGATGTTGTAAGTCGGCATCGGTTTGTCGGTTTAGCATTCCAGATGGAGGCACCGTAACATATCGTTCCTCATTTGCATCGCTTGTACTGTTGCTAAGGTTACCATTGGTTTTTATGTTTTGAGTATTTTCATGGTTACCGTCCTTATTGCTGTCACCTTCAAGGTTGACTCTCAACTCTTTCAGTTTGTTGTCTTGAGCTTCTTCGGCTGGACGCGGTTGTGCTCGCGCTGCGTATGCGCGCTGGTTCAATCCATGGTACACAGGATTAGTTGACCCGCTAAAGTCTTCTTGCCAAGGCAAACTCTTGTTCAGGTTCAGTATTTCGTCCCTCAGGTCTGGTCCGATCTCCTCGTAGGTGGGGCTCAGTGGTACTTCCACTCCTGGTTCATCTTGGAAGCCTGGGTTACTGAATGTAACGTTCGGTGTTACCTCGTTTTTCTCCTTCTGGACGCGTTGTTTACGCTTCCTAATCAAAACAAGGTCCAGAATGATGTTATATGTGTTAACAAAGGAGTGTCATGATTTTAAACAACAAATGCGCATGCGCTTGCTTCTATATTTATACAGCTGCGCATGCGCATGAGTTTAATAAAAATTCAATGCTGGACATACCCATGAGATTAATGTGAAAAGTTTATACTGCACATGCGCGTGACTTAGATGAATTTTCTCTCTTTCAGGAAGAATTTTTTAATGTCTGCTTTAGCATCAACAATGCTTACCTATAGAAATAAAACAAGATTATGATAATAACCAATACGCATAGTACACCAACCACTGCTCCAGCTGCCGACACAGGAACACTAGAAGAACTTGAATCTCCGGAGCCATGTCCTTTATTTTCGTCTGCTATCGGTGCCCCAGGACACTTTGGGTCTTTTTCCCCATTCAAGGCCAGAATGTTATAACCTTTCAAGGCACTCGACCCAGACTCCTTTGAATCACGCATGATAGCACACAGCAGGGATCCAGACATTGGTTTCCTTGGTCCGGATTGGTTCGCTTGTTGCGGTTCTAGGATAACAGTCTGGACTTTGATCCCGTTAGATACGGCTTTTGGATCTCCGACAACTATGACGTCATCGGGTGTGTAGTGTAGGAGGCCACTGGACCGTCTTCGGCGTCTTAAGAAAAAAATCAAGATTTGTGGCATCAGAGCAAAATGAATGATTCTTCTCATTGGCATATAGCGTAACTACGGACATGAGGAAGATAGTCCAGATTATTTGGGATAGCGCTCGCCTCTCACCAATGCGAACCGGGTTCGAGTCCCGCTGAGCTCGGTGTCGTATGTGAGTAGAGTATCGCTTGCTGGTTCTCTCCTGTGCTTCGAGGGGTTTTCCGGGTTCTCCGGCTTTAATCCCTCCGCAAAAATCAACTTCTAAATTCCAATTGGAATCCAGTGGAAGGAGAGCCACTCTGTGGAATCCACTGTTAATCCCATTATTTTATTATTATTTATTTATAAAGTGTGAAGGGTAGTATAGTGGTAGTTAACTCGCATCTCACTTCTGGGGTCTCGAATTCGATTCCTGGACTCGACATCACATGTGAGTAGAGTTTGTTAGCTCTCTCCCTTGATTCGAGGGTTCTTTTCCTGAGTTCTCTGACTTAGATCAGCTCAGAGGTTGTTTCAGGGTTCAATCTGTGAGTTAGCCATGCCCTGACTTAGATCAGCCCAGAGATTGTTTCAGGGTTTGATCTGTGAGTTAGCCATGTCCTGACTTTGGTCAGCCCAGAGGTTCTTTCAGGGTTAGATCTGTGAGTTAGCCATTCTCTGACTTGGTTCAGTGTTTCTAGGTATAGCTTCAATTTGAAGGTTTGAAGAACACGCCAGTATGTGAAACAAATATTACACATCATTACATAATCCTTACTTGTACTTGGCGTTACAGTCATGCTTTTCACAATATCCATTTACCATCTTAGCCATTCCTTCCTTGAATTCAGATGTTTTCCAGTCCTGTTATGGACAAGAAAAACAAATCACTTTATCATATTTCACGAGTGCAACCCCTCACAGCACGGTTACGCTGTAACAACTCCCTCCTGTTTCGTGTGTGGATTTCTCTTACCTCTAGTTTCATTTTTAAGGTCATTTCTATCTTGTTTTCCCCTAAATTATGAATAAATAAATACCACATTAATAAAACAATATCAGAAGATACCAAAACACTATCGAACGCAAAGCCCCGCCATTTTGCACTGCGTCGTTTTCTTCTTAAATTTCGCACGAGGACGGGGATAAAAAATACTGCTGTTGTTATTGCTTGTGCTGCTGCTGCTACTGTTGCTCCTGCTGTTGTTATTGTTGCTGCTGTTGCTGATGCTGGTGTTTTTCCTGTTATTATTGTTAGTGGAAGTGATGGAGGTGATGTCATTACACCCGCCCTTCATTCTTCGGTTCGGGAGCGGCCACACACACAAAAGCATCAACTAACAAACATACCGTAAAACACATCACACAAATGTGAAGCATAGCCTTCCTGACATTGGCAAACAAAACCATCTGGGTTCTCTTGTATCTTCGTACATTGTCCTTCATTATTACAAGGGTTGGGTAGACATGGGTTTCGTGTTGCAGTCGTCGTCAGCTTGGTTGATGATGTAAAACTGGAAGTATGTGATCGTTGAGTTGTTTGTGGGGTAGTTGTAGTTGTTGTCGCAGTTGTAGACTCTGTAGTTGGCGTCGTTGATGTCTTCTGCTTTGTTATTGATGGTTTTGTTGTTGTTGGCTGTTCTGTTGTAGTAGGGTGCGTCTTCGTGGTCGTTAGCTTCTCTGTAGTTGTTCCACTTGTAGTAGTTGTCGTAGTTGTTGGTATAGGGGCAGTCGTGCTAGGTGAAGATGTAACGTTAGGACGGTTAGGTACAGTCAAGCACGGCTGACCAGTTTCTGTGATGGAAGGACAAGCACACTTGTATCCACCAGGGACAACCAAGCATAGGTGAGTACACCAGCCATTATATAAAGTACAAGGGTGTGAATCTAGTTAATAAATTAAATATAGAGAGAGAGGATGTTACACGGTGGCGCGAAGATATGAAATTTATATTCGAGTGGTGAAAATATTTCGAGTGAAATCATCATAATGTCGAATTTCCTGGGAAGTCAGTGCGCAATGGCTTGCCACGTTGGTCTGTGTCTCATACACGGCAAGATCTCAACAGTTGATTGCAGACCAGTGTCACGCCTAAGCCGATCTAGAAAAGGTTAGCTTTTGACCTCCACAAGAAGCTCGACCCTGCCGTGGTTCCAATGATACCTCAGTTTTACTGTGATGTAATTCCTACGTCAAAATTTCAGATCAGCTGGTTATCTTTGATATTTCTGAATAATTTGACATCGATGAGGCTAATCTTTCGTAAACGAGTCTGCAATCAAGGAAAAGAAACTTCTTACCTGGAATCACCGTAGCGTTATGATATACATGGACATCCCGAGGAGCACCCGATGTCCTTGCGACCCTCGTCACGACATTCCCGTCTTGTTTCGGGATGCTGAATATACCACCTCCATTTCCCTTCTCGGACCAATAGATTTTCTCCTCGTTGAGAACCAATCCAAAGGGATTCGTCAAGTAAAGATGGGAAGAGATTAAATCTTGGACCCGGTAAGGTTGAGTCTTTAAGTCCATGAACTTAAGGGTCCCTTGAAGCTCGTCAATCCAGTAAAGCAGGTTTGTTTCTGGGTCAAGGGCCAGACCGTTTGGAGAAGGAGGAATGTCGCTCCATGACCAATGAGCAGGATTCGGAAAGGATTGGATGAGCGTTCTGTTTGCACCGTTCATGTCAGCACGTTCTATTTTGGCAAGATGTCCCCATGATGACCAGTACATGAACCTTGCATGGAAATAATAACTTATTATAACATAACAAAGGCACGGTAGCCATGTTGGATGATATGATGAAACAGGTTCAAAGAATAAAAGAAATGGCCGCCATGTTGGATGACATACCAAAAGACATGGCTACTATTGTTGGCTTACGAGACAAAATAACATGGCTGCTATGTTGGATGACATCTTAGAAGACATGGCTGTCATGTTGGATGACATACCAAAAAGACATGGCCGCATGACATACCAAAAGACATAGCCACCATGTTGGATGACATACCAAAAGACATGGCTGCCATGTTGGATGACATCATAGAAGACATGGCTGTCATGTTGGATGACATACCAAAAAGACATGCCCGCATGACATACCAAAAGACATAGCCACCATGTTGGATGACCTACCAAAAGACATGGCTGCCATGTTGGATGACATACCAAAAGACATGGCTGCCATAGTTGGATGATATAGCCAAAAAAACATGGCGGCCAGCAACGACTTTTATTTCATTAGTTTATACTTCATCCTCGACCTACCCTCTCTTTCCATCCAGTACGATCGCCTTAGGTTGATCAAGATTAGACACCAAGACCTTCCTAAACGATCCATTCAGCTTTGAAACCTCAATAACATTGCTACCCATATCCGTCCAGTAAAGATTACGACCAATGGTATCAACCGCTAAACCCTGTGGTCTTTTAAGCCCACTGTTAACGATATTCATTTGAAAACTCCCATCCAAATGGGTTCGCATGATTCGATCAAGGCTCACATCTGTCCAGTAGACGAACTCCTCCAGCGGGTCAAAGTCCAAGGCGGTTGGTCGTTTGATGTTTGACAATGGTAGCTTCACTGGTGTGTTGGTCGTGTCATCCAACGAAAGCTTGTAAATACCTCGGCGCCGTATGCCACCCGCATCAGCGTACAACAAAAATTCTTTAAAATAACCTGAAGAACAAAGGCGAAGAAGAAGAATATTTTTTTAAATGACCTTAAGGAGAAGAAGATCTGTTTGAAACCCGTCATTTGACCTTTGTTTCTAGAATTTGTTTGAGTGACCACTAAACAATGATTCCAAGTCGGGACTGAACTTGATAAAATACAGTAAATGTATCAACACATCAATTCCATCCACGACTTGAACCATGGTTTAGTGTTAACTCAAGGGAACGACTTCAGGGAAGGTCTATCGTTCTACATCTTGAAATGGTCTTATCAGACGACACGAAGAAAGTTGACCTCAACAAAGTGGGTCCGAAAGCTATTTTCTTGAATCGTTCGTTGATAAGTTTGACAAGACGTTTACTAAAACTTCAGTTGTACTCACAAGTCTTCCCATCATCCTTCAGCGTCATTTCATTCGGACATGCGCACTTTCGACCACTAGGTTCGAAGAGACATAAATGACTACAGTTCCCGTTGTTTTGTGAGCAGGCGTCTGAAAATGAAGAAAGACAATAAATGAGAAATGTTTATATGACTGTGATGTAGTAACTACCTGGTTGCCTTGGTTGGGCAGCGGCCTGTTGAGCTGGAAGTCGTGGGGTGGATTCATCGTAGCCCGCAGACGAACATTCTGGGTCTGTGAATGGAATGTCTGGGGGTATGTGCTTCTATTGGTTTAAAAATATTTGCAAATAGTGAGAACTATCCGTGGCTCGAATAACCACATAAAATGGTCCAGTCACATTTAGAGACATTATGTTAAACATAGAGTGTCATACGTTTATCAGTTTGGACTGTTAAGTCCCATCCTCTCTCTAAATTAGATTGATTATTTTGAAATATTGTTACTGGAACTCTATACTGTTGTAGTGACATTCATTTTCCACCTCTTCTTTTTGACACTGAAAGCCTCTCCTCACCCACTCAAGCTAAAGCGTCATGCATGACAACTCCCAAGCTCACCCCCCTTGACGCAATAAATTGGGTGCCAAAGAAAGGATGCTTACTTACTTGGTGTTAATGTTACATTGAAGTCCACAGCCACAATACTCAAAGGTCTGCCAAGAAACCATGTCAAGTTCTGCAAGACTCTACCTGTGTCTTTGTCGATTTTTATCACAGCACCATCATTCGCGCGTCGGCCACTGTCCAAGAGGTACAGGAAGCCATCAATCGAGGTCAGAACCGAAGGCCCTAACACCTGCCGAGAAAGATGAATCGTCACCACCCCTCCTGGGCTGACTCGATCAACATACTGAAGCACGTTGTGAAACTCGTCAAACCAGTATAACCTGTTTTCAAAGATAGTAACTCCTGTTGGCGGGGAAACAAGATTCGCTAGTACACGTCTGTTGAGGCCTGTCATGTCAGCTTGCTCTATTTTTGGCGGGAGGTCTACTCCGCCGCTTCCCCAGTAAAGGTGACGTTTTTTGAGGTCAAGGATGATGTTGGTCGGACGTTCCAAGTTCTCATAAATAAGTGTCTTCCTGTACTTTCCATCCAACTGGGCAACTTCAATTCTATTGGCTACCCTATCGTTCCAGTAGAGATTCCAAGCCATCCAATCCACTGCCAAGCCATCCGCACTCCTTACTCTTCCCACAATTCTCTCTTTAGATGTTCCATTCAAGAAAGCACGGAAAATAGACTGTTGCCATGTGTCGGTCCAGTAAATGCGTCTGTCTATTGGGTTTACAACGATGGCGCTTGGATACTCGAGGTTTGCTAGAGGCACGCGTTTCATTACGGGTTGCGGGACGTCTAGCGGGATTTGATAGATTGCAATCGGAGTTGATGTTGTTAGAAAAATTGATTTAGTGGATTCTAGAAAAGAAGGAAAATTATGAATCAAGTCTTGGGAAGACAGTAGTGCAAAGGAAAGATTTTTGTACCTTTGCAAGTCGTACCATCTTGGCTCAGAATTTGGCCATCTGGGCATGCGCACTTTGGGCCAAGTGGAGATAAAAGACAAAGATACTGACAGACGTGGTTTCCTTTTACACAGGAAGTGTTTCCTTGGAGATCAACGGAACAAGTTAAATTATGGACGAATAGGGACAAGAACTGAGGGAGGGAGTGGAAGGGGAAGAAGAAGAAAATGAAGATCGTAAAATTTAAGAAAAAGAAGAAGAAGACTTAAGAAGAAG